TTAGAACAAGCCACCAAGAGTAGAGATGGAGAACTAGTTGAAGTAATTGGTGGATTGATGATCAACCATTCTATCAAGCATTAAATCATATTAAAGAATTATTTCTTGTTCCTTTAGAACACCAGTTCTTCTTCTTCGAGACGTGGAAATGGTGTTGGAAGTCCTGCAACTCTAATGATAAGATCTAAATGCTCAAAACTGATGCATGTTCCTACACCTCACTCACTACATCTTCTGCACCCACTCATCTACCGTTCCGCCTGACGCTGAGCTCAGGTGGCATCGCTTGCCACGCCCTGGACGCCGTCGACAACCTTTGGCTCTCGTTACCGTTGCGTCGTTGCATTGGCCTCGTTGAGCCCTCCGTCGTCGTTGATCCAGTTCTGCCGAGCGGCCCTCCTGTGTACTGATGCACCACCAGCACCGATATCGTCGTCGCGAAGTCCGACGAGGCCAACAAGTCCCCTATCGGCCCCAACTCCGGGCACTCTGCCCACTCCGTCAACCCTGCTGTTAGCGTCAGTGCGGCGTCTCGCTGACTTCTTCCCACCACGTACAGATCGTGCACGCTCTCCATCGATTGAATGGCCGCCACCGTCTCCTCCGTGCTGTTCACCACCTTCTCCGTGTACAGCAGCGACTCGTTGCCGATGTTCCCGAGTAGGAATTCGTTTAGGTACTCCTCGTCGAGCTGCTTCTCCTGGGTGCTATCGGTGACGATGGAAATGGTCCTGGAGTCTTGTGCAGTCGGTGGCGGCGGCGTGGTGGCCGGGGATTGTGGTACGTCAGCTTGATCACCGGCGATGAATCGAACGACGGTGAGGTTGATCGATGGGTTCTCGGCCATGCGCCACGCGTATGCCAGCGCCTCCCGGTCATCGGGTCCTCCGAAGAAGAGCAACGCTATGCGATGCGAGTACTGCTGGCCGTGAGCCATCCGGGCTTTGCTGCTTAGCCCACGGTCGATGAGGATGCCGACGGAGCAGGGTGACGCGTTGAGCACGTTCGCGTTGAGCACCTTGATGGATGAATTGATCGGCTCCATGCCCCCGTCCACCGTCTGCTGCTTGTGGAACGGAAGGATAATGAGGGTGACGTGCTTGTCTTCCGCGAGGCTACAGATGTCCTCATGCATGGTCGTGTAGGGCGAGACGACGGTCAGCGTCTGCACCGAGACGCCACCCACGCGCTGCTCGTAGTTATCGAAAGCGTGGAAGATGTGCTCGGACTGCACTTGCCTGCCGATGAGCGAAGCGACGGGCTTGCGGTTGTTGTTGACCTTGGAGGTCTTGGTGTGGTGGACGATGAGCATGGCGGAGGCACGGCCCGTGAGCTCCACAAGGTGGAGGGCGTAGACAAAGATCGGGGAGCGCTTGCTGGGGTTGGAGATGTTGAGGACGCTGACGATGGAGGGCACGTTGCGGGTGTTGTGGACGCAGGCCAGCACCCGAAGCTCCGTGTCGGGCTTGGAGCGTTGCAGGTTACGGCGCTTGTAGCCGACGAGGCGACGTAAGGGCCGATGCAGATACGTCACCAGCGGCGTCACCATTAGAGTCATGACCAACGAGGTCATGACCATCACGGCGAAGGATTCATCATCAAGAACCTAATGGTAACTAGCACAACAAATAGTCAGATTCTTGGGGAGTCAACGGCGATGCGCGTCCATCAACAAGGAAACGTACCTCCATATCCCTTCCGATGTTGAGGACGATGATCTCCACCAGCCCCCTCGTGTTCATCAGAAAACCAAGGGAAAGACCTTCACGCAATGGCATGGTGTAGAAGAGAGAAATCACGACGGTGCCGGCAATTTTGCCGATGCTCGCTAGCACGAACACTAGGACGAGGAGCGCCACGGTCCTCCCATCCCTAACCTTGGACAAGTCCGTGCTCAGCCCATTGGATACGAAGTAGAGAGGTAGCAGCAAACCGCTGACGATATCCTCCAGCCTCGCGATCAACGCCACCCCGACCGGACCGTTCGGTAGCACGAGGCCGAAGACGAACGCCCCGAACGCAGAGTGGAATCCAATGACGTCGGACATCACAGCTGCTAACATCATCGTGCCAAGTAAGAGGCACACATGGAAGTCGCTCACTGCTTGGCCTTCGGGTAGCTTTTGCATGAACCACCACATGGTCGGGCGAATGCAGAAGAGACAGAGAAGGACGAAGCCCACGCCGGAGAGTAGAACCCAGAGGGGTGTCAGTGCGGTCCCACTGGGCCCTGTAAGCGCGACGGAGATGGCCAACAGGATCCATGCGCAGAGGTCGTTGATGATCGCGGCCGACATGGAGATTCTTCCGATCTCCGAGTTGAGGAGCTTGGTCTCTGCAAGGATGCGAGCGAGCAGGGGGAAGGCGGTCACGGAGAGAGCGACTCCCAGGAAGAGGACAAACGCTCCCTCGTGGATGTTCTTGCTGATGAAGTTTCGGAGCAGGAAGGAGGAGGCGGTGCCGATGGAGAAAGGGATGACCATGCTGGCTGCTGCAACCACAAGCGCCTTGTGCCCTGTTCGGCCGATGACAGCAATGTCCATCTCCACGCCGACGAGGAAAAGGAAGTAGAGAAGGCCGAGGTGACCGAAACCCTGCAACGTCAGGATACTCCTCGGTGGAAAGACGACGTCGCGGAAGACCGCCATCTGGCCCGCCACCGACGGGCCAAGAACGATGCCGCCCTATGGAAACAGAAGGATCATGCGTCAGTACTACCGCGATGGTGGATGCTTCGAAGGAACGACGCAAAAGAGTTACGATGATCTCAGCGAGGAGTCGAGGCTGGTGGAAAGGCTTCAGGAGGAGGGCGACGACGCGGGTGACCAACACAATGACGATATTTTGGAGGATGAGGAGAGGGAGGGAGAAGGAAAGCGGATTCAGCCCTTGCCAGATGCCGTTGGTGCAGGTCATCGTCGAGACGAAGCACACGACAGTGCCTGTGTCATCGGTTATGTTCGTTGGTGCAGTCACCATCTTCGATCATGGCATTCCCAAATGGAGTCGGAGGAGGAACAAAGAGAACCGGAGAAGAAGGCTTCGTGATGATGAAGGGAAAAGGTCAACCGAGTGCTTGATTTGACTTTGACCAAAGGACGAGAATCTATCTATTATTTGATTGGTTGACCGGGCTCCTTAACCCCAGATTTGGGAGTCGATGTCGGAAAACTAGAGTTGGTGGATGTGTTTATTGTATTAGAAAAGTCACACATTCTACCCCCTTTTTTTTTTAATCCGTATTTATATATAAATTTGAGGACGATTTTTCTATCAAAAATATATATAGAACGCCTTATTTTTTAAAAAGAATATTCATCTAAAAAAAGGAGTATTCTGCACGAAAAAAAAAAGACAAATAGAATGCCGTAAAAGCCAGTAAGACTAAAAAAGACCAGCTTTTTTTATTTTCGGGATTTTTATGAGAATTATGACGCCATGCTCACATAAAAACGTTTCAAATAATCGGAATCCCGTTCTTGTGGGATCCATCTGTGGGCCCTTCACTGCAGACCACGTCATCCGTATTATTTATGGGGTCGATTCAGCCAGCCACTTGACGATGCCTCTAGGAGAACGCAAACACCTATAGGTGTATCAAACTCACACCAGACTTGTCCCCTATTAAAGCTTCTGACAGTGCGGGTTAGGGCTTTCGGCGGGGGTTCGAGAACGAGAACGCGGAGGTGAGCCACCATTGGCTTCTTCTTCCTTTCCTCCACATCACTTCTAGGGTTCAGGTTCTCTAAGTATTGAGCGTAATCCGGTACTCTTTGAGCCGATTTGAGGTGATTTTGTGTGATTGTTGTCTCTGATGTCGTGTTATATTTCTGCTTCTTGCGATGTTTCGAGTGATCGAAAAATTGGATCTGGTTGGGGCTGTCGGGGATGATTTACTGTTTTGGTTTGTAAAAGAAGCTGACGCTTTTTTTTTTGACCTTGCGAAGAAATGGCGGTTCCGTTGCTCACGAAGAAGATCGTCAAGAAGCGCGTCAAGAAGTTCAAGAGGCCCCAGAGCGACCGCAAGATCTGCGTGAAGGTAAAAACTGAACCCTTGTTTTCCATAAAATGTAAAGATTTAAAGTATAGGCTTGATTGTTATTGTAAATCTATTGTTTTTGCTGTAAAGTATTGATAGTTGAAGTTTTATTGATGCATTGTATTTGATTCGTAGATCGTGCTTTAGGTTACTGCTTCTGCCTTACAGGGTGCTGCCTTTTATATCAGTGTCACTTGGTTATGTTTTTTCCCCCTTGTTTGGGATGATCTAAAATAATTAGCTTTAACTATAATTACTTGGAAAATATTTATGAAACAATGGTTGAATGACATCCTAATTTCAAAGTTATTCTGTGGCTAATACGAGTGGTCTATATTTTTCTAGACGGCTTGTGTTTCAGGTTGTAATTCCATGGATGAGATTTATGAAACAATGGAATGCTAAATAACATGAAATTTCAAAACTATTCTGTGGCTAATTGTAGTGGTCCATATTTTTCTAGATGGCTTGTTTTGTAGTTGAACTGTTGGTAAAATAGGCTGAAATGTCTTGTAAAGGTAAAATGTGATTACTTCCCTGGAAGTAGGAGAGATGTGTTCTTTCTTCATACATCCATGTCAGCCAGATCTTCTCAATCTCTATAGATGAACTATCTATTGTTTCCCTGCTGTACACCTACTAAACCTCGAAATGTGGCTTTCCACCTTTTATCATATAATCTCCTTTATTGCTGTGCACAGTTTAGTTTTGATTCCTTCATCTTTGGCTTAGTTGTCTGACTGAAGAGAGATTCTATCAGCATATAACTCCAGAAATCTATTGGAATTTATTCAATTTGAAAAAGGAATTATTGTTTTAAGTGACCTCTGAATGACTATACCTACTCCAGATTTAAAGTATAAGATCTTTTAGACTGGTTGCAGAAGTTTTGGCTTAAATTTTTTCTTTATTAGGATGATGGCTACATTCCTCTTAATGATCATGGAGCTATCTTTAGTTGGATTACTCTTATGGGCTACAAAAAACATGTAAAATTCCAATTTCAGACAACCCTGAGCCTTGAAGTAAGTTGCTGAGTAAAATTAAGGGGATTCTAGTTTTCTCTTTTCCCATTTTGATATTAATTTTTTTCTTATATGAACTATGGATTTCCAAGAACACAATTATTTAGCATTCCTGTACATATTGGAAACTAAAGCATGCATGTAAGAGAGAAAATGGTCAGCTTTGCTTATTGATGTAAGAACTAGGCTTGAAGAAAATCTTCATGATGAGATGTATGATTTCATTATGTTGTTGTATTTGTCTTCTGGAGGGCCTGACAGTGTCTGTCTTATATTGCTAGTGTACAAATTTTCTCATCAGGAATTTGGTATGTACAATTACTTTAGCCAACTTTAACCAGCAAGGATTTGATGCTTTGCCTTTTTTACAACTTTATTTCCTTAACTGCTTTTACTGATTGCTTATTTTAAGTCATAATATATGCTTGCTGTAACTGGTCAGATTTCTCATGATTTGAATGTTATGGTGATAGCCAAATTGGCGGAGACCTAAGGGTATTGATTCTCGTGTGAGAAGAAAGTTTAAAGGATGTACCTTGATGCCAAATATTGGGTATGGTTCTGACAAGAAGACACGCCATTACCTGCCCAACGGATTCAAGAAGTTTGTGGTTCACAATGTTTCCGAGTTGGACTTGCTCATGATGCACAACAGGTGGACTTCTTTATACATTGTTCATTCCTCGGTCAAGATATTGATATAGCATGTCAACATGTTGTCACGTGTATTCATGTTTTAAAATGTGTTTCTTAATTTCTCTCTCAGGACCTACTGTGCAGAAATTGCTCACAATGTTTCGACAAGGAGGCGCAAGTCGATCGTTGAGCGAGCCACCCAACTTGACATTGTTGTTACCAACAAGCTAGCAAGGTTGCGCAGTCAGGAGGATGAGTGAGCCAATGCTTAGTTGTCCAGCTTGAAGCAAACTTATATTAGCACATTTTGATTTATCAGCTTGTTTGAGCACCCGTTTGTGTTGGTTGGTAATTAGTCATAGTAACAAGATTTTGTTTAGCATGAATGGTAAATTATCTCGAGTTTAAATTCCGAACTTAATTTTGGTTATTCTGGAACTCGGTTTTTGACAGGATCTGAAGAATGTGGCAACATTCTTTTTCAATCCACATGAAATCTTACATTGGGGTTTCTATAATGGTGCCCAAATAATTGCTTTCTAACAGCATTTGTCTAGTTGCATATGAATGATGAAAAATGGACTTCCCTTTTTCTATACATCTGAAATTTTTTTATGGAAATTGAAATATAGTTTAGCATTTGTCCATCTCTACATATGCTAATGTACGTCTATTCAATGATCTAAGTCTCTCAACCTCAAACTACTTGAAACTATGAACATGCATGTTATATTCATAGACGAGTCTTGCTCCAAAATAATCTTATGTACATGAGTTTAGGTAAGCTAGGTTCGATCAAGATATCAATGATATTTTATAGACTTATCACATGTTTATTATTTAATGCTAACAAAAATAAATCACTTGTTTTCTTAGAATTTAATACATGAAAATGATTGAATCTATGGATAGCATCACTTAGTCGACTTGAAAAGAAAATTTACTAATCCTCACATCCAACTCTTTTAGCTGGAAACTTCTAGACATTCTTTTTCCTCCGAGGCATGGAGACATGCCTCGATGGCTTGTTATTGATGTCGACTTACACAAGGAAAAATAATTTTATACTCCAAAAGATTGTAGTCATGTCAAATTGGGAGAGCATCATACATTATGCTGCATTATGAGGAGGAGCAAAAGCATGCGGCCTATCACATGCAGTGACAACTGCATTATATATATATATTTTCCAAATAAGGCATACATTTGTTATGAATAGTTTTGCCTTTATAAAAATATTCATTCATTCAAAATACTATATTTACTATGTATTAATTCAAAATTGCACGTATACAATATAAAATTAATATTTGATCACATGTGCCATCAAATTAGAGTCACGATGTCAAGAAAGTGTTATGGGATAATCTAAATTGGGTTTGATTGGATTTTATGGATACAAACAAAAGTGAAGAAGCCTTTAATCATATTAAATAAATTCAATTAATATTACCATTATATATATATTATTCATATGTTTTAATAATAGCACCAATTTCCATCTCAATTTTTTTTTCTTTTTTAGATTATATATTATATATATAATTCAATTTTGTTGTTCCTCAATCCAAGAAAAGGCCTTATAACTTGATACTATAAAAATTATAATTACTTTCAATTCTCCTCACAAAAACACATCCACCACCCTCTTCTCAAAGTAGGAGGCCTTTATGACCTGATATTTCGGAATCATAATTGCTTATCAATTCCTCTTAATAGATAGGAGGTTCATCCTCCATTTTCTCCTATGGTCAATCAATCATATGAAGGCATTCAAGCCCCTGCCAAAAATATTCAGGTAATAATGGACATATATTTTGGATATCATACTTCCAAATACTCCCAATCATGAAATTATTTGGACTAAAAGAATGTATCAGATCATAGAAGAGCAATTTTGAGCCTTCTGGTCAAGAGGAAGTATTTAGGATTTATACCAACCAATCAACTAATTAGACATCCAATTAGTCCCCAAAGTGCACCCTAAAAATTTGGATGAGAAATATGAACCTAATAAAGCTTATGCCAAGAGATGGGATATGATATATCCCATATAAATAATTAAGTATTAATTATAGTTATAAAGCACATAAAATTATTTTCTTTTCCATCATTATTTTCACGTGGGGCACGTGATAGAAGGAGCTCTACGTCATGCTTACATGAGGCTTACGTAACCGCAGAGCCGGTCCAAAGCCGCCGCCAGCTGCAGCACCCGATCCCATCGCTTCCTCGCCCTCTACTTCTTGCCGAGGTTGGCTTCGCTTCTCTGAGCAGAGAAGAGAAGGCGTAGCCATTTCGAATGCATGCACTTTAGATCATCATGAGATGGCTTCTATAAATTCCAGCCTCCTCCGCGTCAGATCTCCATCATCACCAATCAAACGAGCCATCTTCTTCTTCGCTTGCTACCTCATCATCTTCGCCTTGTGGTCTTCCTCCTCGTTCGACGACCTCGATTCCAAGGCCAAATCCAGCAGCAGCCAGAAGAAGATGGGAGACCACGAGACCCCGAGGATTGAGAAGCCTCGGCAGGTGGTGAAGAAGGTCCTCGCCAGGTCGCAGCCGGAAGGAGTCGGGGCCACCGTCAGGAGAAGCATCGGAAGGTGATGATGATTCCTGATCCATTTCCTCCTCTTCTTCTCCTTCTGCCACTGCTTGTTTCCTGATCCGGATCGATCTCCAGGGCAGAACTCAGAAGCCTGGATCCGTTCCTCATGTTGGATGAGTTCACAGGTTTGACTTCCTCTCTCCGCCTCTTCTTGTCTGTGATCGATCTGTCATGGGTTGTCAACCTCTTTCTTTTCGTGGTGTCGCAGTGTCTGCTCCTGCTGGATTCCCAGATCACCCTCACAGAGGTCTCACCTTGTCTTCATTTGATCTCCATTTACTCTCGATTTCTACCCCTTTTTTTTCCTATGATCTCATCTCCTGGAGGTGATTCCTCTGCAGGTTTTGAGACGGTCACGTACATGCTGGAGGTAGTAATTCTCTCGATAGACTAATTGTCTGGAAATGCTTCTCTCTCCAAAGAAATAGAAAGTGATATGATATTGACTGGAACCATGTCATCCAGGGAGCCTTCACTCACCAAGATTTCGCTGGCCACAAGGGCACCATCAGAGCTGGAGATCTACAGGTGATTTCCAGAGCAGCTCAATTCTAATCTACACATTCTGACGCATCTTGGCTGTCTTCTTCCTCTTCTCCTCCTTCAGTGGATGACTGCTGGCAGAGGGATTGTTCACTCAGAGATGCCGGCTGCAGAGGGAGAAAACAAAGGATTGCAGCTTTGGATCAATCTCTCCTCCAAAGACAAGATGTAATCCAACTCTAATCCTTGTTCGCTTCATCGGTAGTCACTGAGATGCTAACACTGTGATGTCCTCAAAGGATGGAGCCGAGGTACCAGGAGCTCCAGAGCAAGGACATAAGCAGGGTGGAGAAGGACGGCGTCGACGTCCGGATCATAGCCGGGGAGTCCTTCGGCGTCCGCTCGCCGGTCTACACCAGGACGCCCACCATGTACCTCGACTTCACGCTGCAGCCCGGCGCCCGAGTCGACCAGCCCATCCCCGACTCCTGGAACGCCTTCGCCTACATCATCGAGGGCGAGGGTCTATTCGGCGGCCCGGAGGACGCGACCGCCGCGACGAGCCACCACGCGCTGGTGCTCGGCCCGGGCGACGGCCTCATCGTCCGAAACCCGTCGGCGAGGCCCCTGAGGTTTGTCCTCCTAGGAGGGCAGCCGCTGGGGGAGCCGGTGGTGCAGCATGGGCCATTCGTCATGAACACGCAGGCGGAGATCCGGAGGGCCTTCGAGGACTACCAGCACCACAAGAACGGGTTTGAGAAGGCGCGGCATTGGCGGTCTCAGCCATGAATGCAGTGCATCGAGGTGGGAAGACGCGAGAATAAGGATGCAGACAGAGTCAACGCCATTCATCAGATTGTGCGTCGTGTCTTCTCGGATCGAAGTCATCGTTTACTTTTGAACATGCACACGGTTTCAATACATCTAATCAAAATATTGATTATTATTATTATTATTATTATTATTATTATTATTATTATTTCGATTAATCGAGACTCATAAACATAATTTATTTATTGTTTATTTAAAATATTATAAATAGAAGTACTATTACATTTATGGTTTGATCAGTTGATCCCAAAACTTAAGTTTTGGGATACATTATGAGTGATGTATACACTAAGAATTAAAACATTTGAGAGGATGCAAAATATAATTATGTAAAGGGATACATTGTTATAATGAAATTTAGAATCATAAATATGCTATTTTTAAATTGAAAAAAAAATAGGCACCATAATTTTTTCTTAGAAAAAATACTCATATTTTTATATCTTCCAAAGGATACCCCTCTTTTATTTTATTTTTCAAAATAGTACCATTGATATGAAAAATATTTAAAATACTCCTTTTTTTTATCAATTTAAAACTGTTATAGTATTTCATTTGGTTTATTTATAATTTTTAATAGTATTTATAGTGTTAAACATTATAAGTGATATTATTATTATATTTTTTTGGTTATCATTGCTTATAGATTATTATGATGATATATATATTTAGGTTTATAATCGATTTGATCGAGATTATGAGTTTATTTAAATCATTCATAATGTTTTAAATACGTTTTATAATATTTTTATTGTGATGACTAAAATATAATAATAAATTAATATTTTATTTTATTTTATTTTTATTTAAGTGATATTAATTCTAAACTATTATAAATAGCCGTCCAAATACTTTGAATCTTTCGAGTCTTCGCTCCCACAGAGAGATGAAAACCAGCGGCGGACTCCCGAGTCGAAGCTCTCCACCAAACTCGAGAACCATTCGCGGGGAACAGCCGAGGCATCATGGCTCGATCCAAGTACGTCCTCCCCTTCATCGCCTTCGTCGCCGTCGGAATGGCGATAGGTTGGTCCCGATCCCTCCTCGGGTTTGGTAATGCTCGCGGTTCCTTTCTGGCCTTTCTTTCTTGGGTTTGGTGTTGCTTGCCGTTCCTTCTTCTAGGGCTTGAAGGCTGGTTCGTTGGTTGGTTGTTGTTCTCATAAGAAGATCAAGTGAGAAGGGTGTGATAATGCTTGCGTTTGCTTCTTTAGGGCTTGAGAGATAGTGGGTTGGGTAGTGTTGTCATTCGTGGATCCGTGGGAATTAGTTTCTTTGGAAGGACGGCCACCTTTCAAGATATGCCATTGAGGTAGCGTAGTTGATCGAATCACCACCAAGAACGCTGAGAATGAAAGCTGATTCATCGTTACACCACCAAGAGGGTTTACAAGTTGCCATTGATGAAGGAATCAAGTTCCTTGAAGTTGAGAGTGATGCTATATTGTTTATCGATGTGTTTCAATGCAAGAAGGAACCCTCTTGGCAGTTTGCAAGTGTTTACAGAGATGTAAGGTTCCTTTTGAGTTT